GAGCATCAAAATCTGAAATGGAGGTACTTTGAGGAATAATTTCCAAACACCCTGCATTTTTGTGATATGGCACTTTGAGCTAGAACAACATCTTGAAGGCAACGGCTCGGCAGAATGGGAATTTAGGGATACTTATAGTTTTCGGTCCTCCTGTATGAGCCGAGTCCTGAGTCCATAACTGTGCTTTGCAGCTTCAAAAGATATCAATGACCTGCTTTTCAGACGTGAAAAGTGCTTTTTGGGCGGACGGCGTAAGCCTACCTTCTAGAGCGCGATTGGCTCGTCAGTGCAGAAGCGTACCCATACCCATCTCAACAGCAGTTGAATTATTGCCTCCAGTAGTCACTTTCGCGACTCGCCCAAACAGCACTTTTCACGTCCGGTAAGCGAGTTATTGATATCTTCAAAAGCTGCAAAGCACAGTTTTATACTTAAAGGCAGTGGATTGGCAAAATCCAACAACTCGAAATTTTAACGCGGTAGGTTCCTTATCGCCCACCTATGAAAACTGTGCAATCCCGGTTGCACAGCATGCTTTCCCTGCCGAGAAAATCGCTTCGAAAATACATGCGCAGGTCAATCTTACACGCATCTGGACGAGTTGACAATTTCCTTCTCACCATTAGAGGCTGCCCGCCGCAACGCTATAATTATTGGGTCCTGCCACGATTTAGCATCATCGGCCTTTCTCCACTCGTCCAATATCAAAGGGAAGGGCATTAGAAAACGCTCATTTTCGCCGTTTTCAAGCTTTCAAAAGTGGATTTTCGGGATCAGCGTATTGAAAAACCCCAAAGCGCAAATTTGACTAGGTTGAGATTTGCCGAGCCACTACCTTTAAAGGCAGTGGCTCGGCAATATTTATCATTCGTACAAGAATGATAAATATCAGAAAGCTATTGTGTAGCTTAAAATAGATTTGAGCCACCATTGCGGATTTTCTAACAACAAGATTGCAGAGAAGGGAGAGGAAGAAGTGTGAAACCGTATTGGTACTGCTGTGAATCTTGTGGCACACAGTTTAGGGTTATGTATCGAAACTCGAAAGCTTAAACAAAGGCCTGGAAAGTTCCAGCCAAATTGGAAAAATAACTTGTCAAGCTTTCAAACTTCTTTCCACCTTAGCATATCTCATACGTACGTGCATCGACTTGTAGTTTCATATTGCCTACACAATGTTAACGAACCATTGCTTACAGAGAACATTCTAAAAAATTTTCATTTTGTATATGATTATTTTAAACCATGTAAACGATGGCTCATGTCCAGTTCTTCGCAAACTGAGGACGATGTTTGGAGAAGTTGACTTTAACGTAGTTTTGATGCACTCTGCAATTTCTGCAGGGCTTGGCACATATAAACATGAAAATTTTTTTAAAATGTTTTCTGTAAGCAATGGTTCGTTGTTGCACTGGTTCCTGTAGCTTTATTCCCTTTGCTTCCTTTCTAAAACCGTATTCAGCCTGCATTCCTGCGGTTGTGGTGAGAGATATTTCTAAGCCCGAGTCTCGAGGCAGTAATTAGCAACAATTCATAGTATTAATGGAACTACAATATCGCTCACATGTAACAATTCTACGGATGTTGCAAAATCCCAGGAATAACGCGAATTTCCGCGAAATTTCCAGAACTTCGCGACATTCCTAGAATTCCGCAGGCGCGACGTTTCTGGAATTTCGTGACGTTCACGGAAATTTTGCACGTCATTTGAGCGGTGTTGCATTTGACCTAACAAGAAAGCGGAATATAGCAGTTTCAAAAAGTCTCGTAATAGCCGGCTTGGATGTATATCAGTCGCGTCCACATCTTTACAAACAGTACAGATTGCCACTGCCCACACAAAAGAGTGATGACGAGCTGCTCTAAAAGTATTTCACCTAAAAGTTCATGGATCCAGAGGCAATCAACACTATCTGGCATAAAATTCAGGTGCTCTCAAATTAGCAAACAATTTTGAGGGATTCAAAAACAAGTCGCTCACAAATTAGCAAACAGTTTCATAAATATGAAGAGGAACTGCTTCGATTGAAAGGATTTTGTTTCATCGTTAGCCCTCATTTTGTACCGCTTTGTAAGTAGAACGAAACGGTTGCTATCACACTCTGCTTAATTATCTGCATGATGGCCAACTCTCAAGTTTTATTTTTTGGTTCGATCATTTGTATCAATAGATGGTTTTCACCGATGTTTTTGTATGATTGAAGAGATGATGTCTTTGCACAAATCATGTAGAGATAACTCGATTTATCCTCTATGTGTAATATGTAGACTGTTTTATTGATGTTGGTGGTCCGCACTTGGAGCTTCATTCAAACTTTTTTAATCCCCTCTCCCCTATCTAAAGGAGGCAAAAACAGGTGCTGATTTTAGTGCCATGACATTGAATCTTTGAGCGCCATCATTTTCAAAGAAGGAATGCGCATGCCACAACATTTGACGAACTCTTAAATTGTTTAAGGCAGTGTCCTGAAAATATCGGGGTTTTCAAACTTCAGTGCAATGCAGAAATGTATCTCGTCAGACAGGGCATCGCCCAAGTGCGAGGCAATAACGGTCGACCAGAAGTAGGAAAAAGGGTCGGAAAGTTGGGAAACTTACGCATTAAGGGAAGGAGGGCTCGCCCCATTTGGCGGGCCTGGCAGAGCACGCATGCTTACACATTAAAGACGTGAGGTCCCGCACCGACTATGCATCTTAGCCTTAACGCCTTCCAATCAAGTTGCAAGGCTTAATTTCCCATATTTTTGCCGTTTTCTCTCTTTTCAATATTTATTTTTGGATCCAGTGTCGCGGATTACCCTAGGTATGTGAGTGTATGTCAAGATTCGCAATTTTTATTGCAATTGTTTACCAAGCATATATTAGGTTGAACCGAAAGTTCTGTCGCACCATTTTCAAAAATTCATAACTTCTGATTTTTCCAACCGATTTGACTGCTTTTATTTTTGTATGAGAGGGTAAGTCATGCTCTTTATAATGGCGTCTTAGCTGCTTACTAATGATCATCTATTGCATAAGTAGGAGCGATAGAAGAAAATTAGCCAAAATTCGAATTTTTCGTGTAGGGTCATAAAAAATCGGAAACTTGCAGCAAAAATCGGAGCAGTCGGTATTGCAGGTTTTTTCACCAGCTCTTTTTAACAGTGCAAAGTTTGCGCTGATTGAGAGTCTCTATGAAAAGTTATGATTTTCGGGCAAGCAGTACAAAAGGGCGAATTTGATTTATTCTGGCATTTTTCAGGGAAATTTTTGAAAATGGTGCGACAGAACTTTTGGTTCAACCTAATATTCAATGATTTACAGCGTTTTACAAGTATCCAGAGCATCGGTTGGCCAGTCTTATTCTTTAAATCAGATACGAGACCAATTTTTCCAAGGTTAAGAATCCATGAAATGCAAGTGATAACAAATTCGTAAGTATTGCAGTCAGTTTTCTGACAAAAGCAGTAAAATTTACCAAGTGGTGAGTTCAAATGGCTAATAGGCAGTTCTCATCTTTCTTTGAAAACAAGAAAACTATTCGCGTAGTTATCACCCATGCCCCCAACGTAGGAGGGAGCCGTCAGATTCTTGGCAGTCATAATCTGATAATCTGAAAGACGCGAGAACATGACAAGGTTGCTCAGGAAAGCATGGAAATGTAAGTTACCACACTACCGATATTTTCCTCAAAGTACTAGAGGTGTGAATAGCTCTCGATTATCAGCAAACTGTTGCCAGTCATATCTCTCGATGGGGTACTTCCGGAGCAGAAGTGGCAGGGTCGCGGGCTTTCCCCAGCGGAGGATTGCCACTTCGCGCTCCGGAGCCTTGCCATTTCACGCATTTTTGTGCTCCGGGGCTCCCCCAAAAGTGGCGCACCTCCGGAGCAGAGATTTGCTCGTCGCGGAGAGGGGTCCCATTCGTCCTGTTTGTGAGGTCACCGTGACGTCACGGTGAATGAATGGGACCCCTCTTCGCGACGCGCAAATCGCTGCTCCGGAGGTGCGCCAATTTTGGGAGAGCCCCGGAGCACAAAAATGCGTGAAATGGCAGGGCTCCGGAGCAGAAGTGGCAGACTCGCGCCATATGTCCGCCGGAGGTATCCCTTCGACTGTCTGAGCTATTGTCAGCTATGCTTCCATATAAGCTGTCCGCTAGTGCATCATCTTATCCATCCAACATCGGTGGATATATTTCTGCTTTGCTGTCGAAATCTCGTGAAATGGTTATTCTGCACTATCTTACTTCATTCGCTTCCAGAGCTAACAAGCAGAAGAAGGAAAGGAATGACTTTTGTGCGACTTACATGCATTTCGGTATGAGTGCCTTCATTGGAAGTTAAGTTTCTTAGGAGTCTTACTTGTTTGATACCTTGCACGGTCAAGCTTGATTGATATACCAAAGTGCATGTAAGCAGCGTAAGAGTCATTCCAAACTGTGTTGCTCAACAAATGAAAACTGGACTATGCGCCTAGCGAAAATAGTGCAGTCGGGACTTTATACAATCTTGACAGGTTCAGGGCTTATCGTAAGAAGCGATGATCAAGTCAAACCTAGCTCACTGTCAGACTCAGATGACACGCTTCAAAACTTAGTTCTCATCATTCGCTGTTGAACAATGGAATCAACACTCTACCCGCATTTATTTATCTTCATACTCCTAGAGCATGTTAAAAAACACAAATCCGTTTTCTGTTCTGTTTAGCTCAAGGACAAGTTACAGTTGTTGGAATGTAACCGCTTTGGCTAACACTCTATCTTACTTTGAGTGAAAAATGATTACAGCCAGGCGTTCAATGCACGGTTTGTAAAATTGTTCATTTGTGTTTGCGGCATTGGCCATGCAGCTGGTCAAACCTTGCTATGTCCCAAGTTTATCGCAAATTTGGGACTTTCGCAAGGCTTCTGGAACTTTTCAGATAAAATAAAAAAACTGCAACAGAAATTATCCGACAACCTTATACATCGCTGCTTTGTGATATAGAACTCATTTTGTTTTGTCTTATTTTGTCTGTTGCAGTCTTGAATGCGGTGGTGGTTCTTTTACTTTTGGAGCTGGTCCAGATGGTATGAAGACGACGTGGAAATTGGCTCATCCGATGGGTACAAGATTGCCTCTGATATGCTTATGAACTCCATAAATTTTTCGGTTCGTTTGGTCTTCCTCCTCTAGACATGCAGCCACGTGCGTTTTTAGATTGATCCATGCGATAATTTCTTTGAATTCACTTGCGGCAACTGGATAGCCAAAAACCCAATCAAGAAGCACATGAGTACGTCATCACAATTTGATTTACTCGAAGATCAAGTAAACGAGCAAATAAGAGGTACGTCATTAGATACAAGAGGGGTGACTTTCCAAAATTCAAACACAAACTTCCAAATCAAAAAAACATTGAATAAAACAACCCCCAATCTACTTTTCATTGTAGACTAATGTTGTTACTAAATATATGCAGTTTCATTTTGCTTCTCATAACTCTTCTGTTCAAATGAGCATGTTGTAGGCATACTTGTATCAAACGAGACGTTCCGTTCGAAATCCATAACTGCCTTGAAAGCTGTCTATAAGAAATGTATGGATACGGATAAACTGAACCGTAGAGGTGCTAAGCGATTGATAGCTGAAGTCAAGGTTAGTAATTGACCAAAACTGTATGTAAATCAGCCAGGTGCTTTCCATTTCAGAGACGCTTCGCTTGGCCGATAATAGATGGAGATAAAAAGTGGAGAGAGAAGGATTATGATTTGACATCGCTACTTATCCATGTATCACGGATTCGCGGCGTTAATGTGTTCGTTTCATGGGAAATAACTCATGACGACAAGAATGCTTCTCGCCGTATCATTCAGGATCGTTTTTTTGTTCAACAATATTACATTCGAAATTTTCATGCATTGATGCTGCAGGGATGTATTTTTTAAGAAAGCCTTATTGGTTGACCACCACACTGGCGTGTTGTGTCTTTGACTATAGCGCTATGGAAATAAGATGGAGGTAATGGAGTAGTAATGGTAACATAATGACTTATAAAACGGGCAAAGGGTGTGTGTGTGTGTGTGTGTGTGTGTGTGTGTGTGTGTGTGTGTGTGTGTGTGTGTGTGTGTGTGTGTGTGTGTGTGTGTGTGTGTGTGTGTGTGTGTGTGTGTGTGTGTGTGTGTGTGTGTGTGTGTGTGTGTGTGTGTGTGTGTGTGTGTGTGTGTGTGTGTGTGTGTGTGTGTGTGTGTGTGTGTGTGTGTGTGTGTGTGTGTGTGTGTGTGTGTGTGTGTGTGTGTGTGTGTGTGTGTGTGTGTGTGTGTGTGTGTGTGTGTGTGTGTGTGTGTGTGTGTGTGTGTGTGTGTGTGTGTCTATAACGAAATTCACAGAGCGATTTACAGGCAAGGTTTCAAGCAGCAATTTTTTGCACAATACGATAACTGCAACCATCCAGATTCACCATGCCAAAACGCGACTAGATCCATTGAGTAGGTTTCTCAAAAATCGCACTGCAGACGGACCACTTAACGTCTGACGCGCATTATTGGGTCCGTATTACCACTTTGCAAAGCGTAATTACGTTTAGCAAGTGAATGTGCACGCCATGATCTTTAGCCCAAAAAGTGATGGAAGTCTATTACCCCACGAAAACGGCGCAAAAACGAATTATTTGCGTAAATGGTCAATTTCCCAGGCTTTTACCTGAGCATGTGATAAGATTTTTGCACGGGGATGTAGCTCGCCGTGAATATTATCTTTATGGCGACAACCAAGCCATGAAAAAATTCAAAAGGGTTCTAATTCTGCATATGTTCTTTATTTTCCAAGGTTTCATCCACACAAAGAACCGATCTCACACGAAAACGGAATGAGTGGTCGTTTACGATTTATTCGCGAAGGCGAGCATTGCGCGTTAGTTCCAATGCCATGTTATGCGGGAACGAGTACGGCATATAGATATTAAAGCCTGTGCGAGCCTCTGCGAAGCAGAGGTGACGCAACGGTATGATATAATACTAATAACTTAATGTTTTACTAGCGAATTGAGTCAGTGCCATGTTTTTTTGAAGAACAGTTATACTGACTTATATGTGCTTTCGGGCGCCAGTCAACATAGGAAAGTTACAAAGTAATTAGTAAAATCAAAACGCTCATGTTCATCTTTCCGATCTTCTTGTGAGTTTACATCTAACAGCACAGAATACGCAGAAATAGCGCGCAGTGCTGGAGTAATACATTCGCCCTATAGCTTTAATTTACTATGGACTAATGCAGAAACATGTAATTATGGTCCTTTCCGCAAATGTCGACGTACTATGATCATCCAATACTGCTCCCACCTCCAGCAAAATCTAAAAATATTTTGGAAAAGGTGATGCATGATGGCGAATGAAAGCAATCGTTTTCCGATTATTACTCACGTCAAGTGCTCTTGTTGAATGTTTTACCGGGTATGGAATATGCGCACGTTAGCAAGGTTCTAAGACTCAGAGTTCTATGACCGTGTTCGTACAGCCTTTTGAAAGGTTGAAGCTGATTAAAATGCAAAATTTGGGCACTTTTTATTATTTTTTCCGCCTACCTTGAATGATGGAGGTAATGCAGGCATAACACTTTTTCAGATTGCAAAATGTATTTGCCAAAGTAGTGCACGCATAATATTAGGTGTTTCGAAAACAATGCCACTTTTTCAAATGAACGCCACATTTCGTGAAACTAAAATTCTCAAGAGTTTTTGGGATCAGTCTGCATCATTTCGTCCTCTTCCTAATGGTTGTAATTTCATTCCATAATATTATATTAGGTCGTTTCCAAAAGTTCTTGCGCACGGTTTTCAAAAACTCATTCAACGAATTTGTACGATCAAAATTTTGCTTGAGAGAGGAACTCATGCTCTTTGCAAATGTACCTGAATTGTTCGTTAATGTTTACAAACGAAGGAGATAGAAGCTCAAAACCAAAATCACCCAAAATTGGAATTTTTCGTGTAGGGCAGTGGCGGTCCGAGGGAGGGGGCGCCCCCCCTCCCGAGAACGGGTCGCGAAATTTTTGAAACTTGCCTATATGAGTATAAAAATGTGCAAACGACTTGTTTATTTTTGTAAATAATTAAAATAACTTTTAAAATTTTTTAAAAATTCAAATTTGCCTTATAGAAAAAAATTTTTCGGGGGCGTGGCTGACGCCACACCCCTAAAATTTTTTTCGGAGTGCGTGGCTAAAGCCACGCACCTTCACTTGAAAAAAATTACTTCCGCCCCCCCCCCCGGTCCGAAATCCTGGGATCGCCACTGGTGTAGGGTCATAAAAAATTGAAAAGTTGCAACAAAAATCGGAGTAGTCGGTATTGTAGGTTCTTTCACCAGCTCTTTCTAACAATGCAAAGTTTGTGCTGATTGAGCGTCTCTATGAAAAGTTATGATTTCCCTGAAAAATGCCAAAATAAATCAAATTCACCCTTTTGTGTTGCTTGCTCGAAAATCATAACTCCATAGAGACGCTCAATCGGAGCAAACTTTGCACTGTTGGAAAGAGCTGGTGAAAGAACCTACAATACCGAATGCTCCGATTTTTGTGGCAAGTTTCCGATTTTTTATGACTCTACACGAAAAATTCTAATTTTGAGTGATTTTGGTTTTGAGCTTCTATCTCCTTCACCTTCATTTGTGAACATAAACGAACAATTCAGGTACATTTGCAAAGAGCATGAGTTCCTCTCTTAAGCAAAATTTAGATCTACAAATTCATTAAGAAGTCAACGAGTTATGAATTTTAGAAAATCGTGTGCAAGAACTTTCGGAACGACCTACTAAAATCAAAATATTAAATTGTACCGAAAGTTTTGTCGGTTTTTTCAAACCACTACAAAACCATGCACAATAAACATCTGAGCGAGTTTCAACATGCATTCGATGCAGCTTTTCCTTCCCTTTCTTATGGATACATCCTCGAGCCACAATCTTGCATGCTCTTTTCGATATTTGTTAAAATTCTCCATCCGCCAATTTTATTTGGTCAAAGATTGGGTAATTTTTAAAAAATTCATTCTAAAGTTTCTAATATGGTCAAGTATGATTCTAATAGAGCAATTCTCGGACTAAAAGGCCACATTTTTAGATTCCCCTAATCTGCTGTTTATGCCTTGAAAAAAAAATAATTTCTTAAGAGGTCTCGATTTTTGGCAAAATCATGAAACACGCAACTGCAGCAAATTTACGGAATATTAAAAGTTTCTCCAAATTGAAAAGTGATTCTTATTAAAGATTATTTATGCAACACGACCAAGTATGATTTGCCTTGAAAAAGCAGCTTTTTGGAATTTTCGGTACTTTTACGTGGTAAATGTAATCAAAAAGTCGCGGTTTTCACTAAATAATTAATTATAACGGACTTGGTAAACGCGGCCCATGTAATCTAAAACAAATACAATGTAGCCAAAGGTTTGCTCTACATAATAATTATCAGCGCTCTTTGTAAACATTAGTACAAAAATTTTTAAAATTCAGGAAAGATTTGGCATTACTGCTGAGCTGCTCAAAAATCCATGGCGATAACATCGCAAAGGCAGAATAAATCAGAGAGGAAATATAGATGTATGAAAGAGGATAAAAATCTGAATCGAATGGTATCTAGCTTGCCCATGGATTGGTGTTCTGTGAGTTTCAGTGATCGATGAAAGAAACCGACAAAACTTTCGGGACAACCTAATATGATAAAAAAATAATGCATATAATCAAAAAAATTACTGAAACCTGCGACTCGTGCTTTTTGTCATGGTCAAGCTCGGCTATTTTTCTATATTTTTATACTGATCCTGGAGATGTACAAGTAACAAATAATTAAGGCGAACCCTATTATACACAAAACAATTTTTTCCTTTTCCTTAGATTGCTTCTCAGAGTTTCTGGAATCAGTTTTTCAATGCCATCAAATTCTATATATGGTCAACTCAACCTCGCAGAACATCAACCGGCAAGCAACTCGGGTGTCATTCGACGCAGCTTTTTCTCCTATTTTTACCAGTTTGGTTCCCGGTCAGCTTTTACCAATTGTTTTTGGTTTCCGATTCACAAAGTTTTCCGGGATAAATCCAGGGCGCCCCAGGCTGTACCCGAAATTTCCGAAAGTTGCTAATCTGGAGCGGTGAACGCTCATTTGCTTTGTAAAATTAGTGTCAAGCCATAACCCACCTTTGTAAGTTTCATCCGAGAATTTATTGGTGTTTGATGCATTTGTGTCTAAGACAAGCTTGCTAAAATTCGGTGATTAAACCTCTAGATGCATTTGTGTCTGAGACAAACCTGCTAAAATTTGGTGATTTCATTGAAAAAATCCAACAAAAATTATGACAAGCTATGCACAGTAGGAAAAAAATTGTGCTGTTTCATATAGCGTTTGCTCAGTCCTTCTGTTACTCGTACTCCTTCGGAGGATTGAAATTTAGAATAATTGTGAAGTTTGACCTTCTCAAAAATCATGGGTCGCAGATTTTATTGATTTTTTGGAGCTTATCGAATATAGTGCAATTAAGTGGCGGAAAAAGTGCAAAAGCAAATTTGTTTTCGTCTAGGCTCTTCACCGCAGTTCTGACTAACTAGACCACAGTATCAACAAGCCTTTTATCAAAACAAGGCCACAACACCAAAAAACGTAAAGATCAACACAACGACAAATATGCGGCAAGTACAAAAAAAGAACAACGAAAAGGCTACGAGCGAAGGCAGCACGCGAGAAGGCTAAGTAAGGAATGAGGCAGTGATTGCGAAATCGGGCGGAGCCATATCGAGATCAATGGACTTAGGCGCGCATCGCGCACTCGCAGATCACCGAGGCAAACACACATGAATCCACCAACTAAGGATCTACATAGCTACCGATGGATAAAAAAGGCCTAAACAAAACACTACAAGCAAAAAAAACAAAAACACTACAAAGCAAATAATACTAGTAGCCTACACTTTCAAACTCAGTAAGCAGATGCCTAGCCTACAAGAAAACGACAATACGTTCACAATTACCATTTATTCATTAGAAAAAGAATGAAACGCTGCATCGAATGCTACCAAGAAAATCTTGCTTCCGCGAATGTTGCGTTCATTTGAAAAAAGAGACCTTACCTTCGGAACGACTTAATACATAATGAATCGCTTATCAATGGAGCCGACATATTTATCTATTTAATTTAGTTACGCTTATTGTTCTCCTTTTCAGTTTGATCAGGCAGGCCTCAGAATGGGTCATTCTGAATATTATTTGGATATGAAAACGTATGGTAAGAAAGTTGAAGCTCTCAAAAGGTATCTTATCAGGCAGGTGACTTTCATATTTTGCCAAGTATGGGCGTCGTTCTAACTCTGGATTGCAGGTTAAATTATTCCAAAGAGATGGCGGTCGGCCCACCTACAAGAAAAAAATTGAAAAGGGTGTTAACGAGATGATTGATCTTGAGATAAAGTTAGCGAAAATCTTGGTGCCAGAGGAGGATCGCAGGAACTGGACAAGAATGTATAACCTCCGTCACTTGAGCGATATGCAGAAGCTCATGCCATTAGTGATGTTTTTCTATTATTTCTAATTTGATTATTTCTAACTATTAAATCAAAGCTTTAGCATAGAAATCTGATAACAGGTTGTAGAAAATTGCTGTTTAGGTCAACTGGACTCGATACTTATTAGCAGTCGCTCCATCTTATTCTCACAACTACCTAAAATCAAATCCAGAAATTATTATTAGGGAAGTCGACTACATGCGGAAGTAATCTTTAATGTCCTACTCTTTTTTCTTGCTAATATATATTTTTCTCTGTTTATATATCAATTTCCTTGTTTAGTATCAGCAAGCTTTTGCGGCGGGTGAAACCCCGTATCATCACCAACTATGTTTTAATGCGACTTTCTGAAGATTGGGAAGGAGAGATGGGGGAGGATTATGAGAACATCGCTGTGGTAATTATCAAAAAAAAGCTCTTGCATGTGGAAGTTTTTTCCTTATTTAGAAATTCGATCGAATAATGTACGGAAAGAAAGAAAAGCCACCGCGTGAGATTTACTGCATTCGACACACAGTGAGTTTGCTGCAGTATGCTACCAGCGCGGTATATGTCAGAAAAATGTTCAACCAGGTAACAGAAAATGTAAATCGTACCTATTACGTTTTTGTTTATAGTTTAGAAGTCGAAAGCTGTAGTCCTGGAAATGATCAATGATATACGAAGGGCATTTCGTGAGATGCTCAGCACCAATAAGTGGATAAATAGCTCTAGAAATGTAAGATAACGGCTCAATACGGTGCAGTACAACAACTTTACAGGCAGCCCTAGAAAAGACGGATTCAATGTTAAGTCAAGTAGGTTACCCCAACTTTATTCTAAATGACGAGAAGCTTGACAAGTACTACGATGGCGTAAGAGAATTTTACTGTTAAACAAGTGTTAAAGAGTACTGTTTAGCTTGATGTACGTGAAAGTGACTCGTACAGTGAAATGTTGGACAAAGTAGCTCGATGGCATATTGAGCACTCATTCAAACAATTAATGAAGCCTGCAGACCGCCACGAATATGATTTCAATTCAGCTAAAGTTAACGCTTATTATTCGCTAACAAGTAATTCAATACGTATGTCGCAGCATCTTCTTAAATGTCTCTGCACATGTAAAGTTACAGAAATTCCCGCAGCTATCCTTCAAGCTCCATTCTTTCATCACACCTTTCCCAGGTTAGTTTTAACAGAGCTATTGCACTTCGTAAAAATTTTCTTATGCTTTCGTAGAAAACAGAGTAGTAAATTTGCCAATTTTAGTCAATGCGAAGAACCGCGCATATAAGCATAATTGCAGTTATGTTTTACTCTTGAGGCAGTTTATGCCAGGATATTTATGTATGTCAAAATAATAGTCGCAGCGTATAGGAAGAGATGTCCCTCGAGAACGCAAGTCCGAGTGAACGTTAGTCATGGCTTTTAATCGTTTAAGTTTTTTTTTCAAACATCGACGTCGTCATAACATATGCGCATCAATTTCAGTGCAAACCATGTGCTGCTTGTTACAAACAAGGCTTCTGTCTATCTAGGGCAAAATTTTGAATTTAATTTCTGCGTAAAGTACTGAAGCTTGTAAAGTGCTTTGTTTTTTTACAAACAAGCGGGTGAAAATGTCTAAAAGGGTTTCCAGCAAAAAAGAAAAATTTGACGTAATGCATAACAAACGATTCTCTGTTGCTGCGTTAAACACCGCGAAAGATATATTGTTGTGTGGGTTTTCCTTTTCAGTCGCCTTCATTTATGTGATTACGCATAATATGAGTTTGGACTGCTTAAGTAGCCTTAGACTATGTAGAAGCTACAAAATGGCATGATTAGCTTGAGATCATCTTTGACAGACAACCTCTACTCTTGCTGTTCATTTTCGGATTACGAGCAAGAGTATGTAGGGTCTTCAACGCTTTTCGAGCTGAAAAGTTATTATTGGTTGTGGTTGCTTCAACAGATATTATGTTATCATCGGTCGCTTCAAGTTTTTTCAGTATGGGGGCCTGCATGAGCGCCAGAATCGGACGTGCGTACGACCATTGCGCCGCGCATGTCCGATATCCGTCCCACGACTCAGGTATAGGGCATTTGAAAAATCGTGACGATGACGCGACCGCGCAGCACGCACGCACACTTCAGCCAGGGCCCGCCATGCGTTGGTTAGAGCATTTTTGGAAACGAAGTCCCCCATAACTTCGCGAAAATTTACGAAGTTCTTCCTGACGTAAAAATCGGTAGAGAAACCCTTGCTCAATCTAACAATAAAAATGCGAAAAAACGCATTTCGAGGTATCTGATATAACAAAAAGCAAAAAAAAAAACATTTCGAGTTGATTAAAGGCTCCGTCATTGGGTAGGATACTATTAAGCTCAGAATGTCAAAAACCTCCTAGGCCAACCAAACCTATGGCCTCAATCAACGCCCGGCATAGATCGTCTGAAAGCAGGCTGGACTTCGTTTTTGGAGCAAAAAGCAAAGGGGCTATCGTTTTTGCGAAGTCGGGGCCGACCACAAGGATAAGCGCCATTTAGGCGAACACAACCTTTTCAAACAATTTAACACAGTTGACATGCTTTATCGTGTATGGCGGAAGGTGCTCGCAATTTAAAAGCAAGGCTAAAATAAACAAATTGCTTGTTCGTAGCGCACACAGATTCATATGACACCAAAATTGAACCATATACATAGAAAATTATTTGCGGAAGAATTATGTAAAAAGAATTGGACTTGAAAACTTATGTGAAGAAATACCTTTTACAACATTAGTCCGTCTCCAGAGGTCCAGACAATCTGAGATCGTCTAGAGCATATATTAGGTTGTCCCCGAAAGTAATGTCGTTTCATTTTCAAAAATTCATAACTCCTCTCCAACTCAACCAATTTCCGAACCTCAAATTTTCTCAGAAAGAAGAAGTCTCTTGCTTTACGAGAATGCTCTTGATAAGCCTTAATCTGTAAAAATCACAGAGATACAGGCAGAAGAATGAGATCAATTCTTCTTCGATTATTTTAAGTTAGGTCACCAAAAATCTGGAATGCTGCAGAAAAATCTGAAATCGTCAGTACATATGTTTTTGGCTTACCCTTTGTATCTGTGAAAAGTTTGTGCTTTTTGGACGTCTCTGTGAGAAGTTATGAATGGTTATGAATGTCGAGTTTACTAAGGGAAACGCCAAAATTAATTAATTTGTCAATTTTCGCAAAAATCATAACTTCTCACAGAGACGTTCAAACAGCACAAACTCTTCAGAGTTGCAAAAGTGGGCTAAAAAACATATGTACTGACGATTTCAGATTTTTTTTGCAACTTTCCAGATTTTTGGTGACTTAAGTTAAAATGAGCAAAGTTTATATGGTCTTCCTTTTCTATTTTCATCTCTGCAATCAGTGCGTAACAGGGGCCAGACAGAACAGCGTTTGAAGGCGAAAAATTTGCCCTTTCTGATAAATAAACAATGAAGCAAATCCATTGAGAAAGCGCAAAGTTATGATTTTTCAAAAATGAAACGACATTACTTAGGGCCGCATGCACTAACATGGCCGCGGGGAGGGGATCGCAGCTCAAAAAAAAGCTTCATATTTCAAAACTCCAGATACTTGGATTTCACGTTGTGTACCTATCCGTAAGTATTCCTACTACCCTTCACTATGAACATGTTGAACAGGAGCGAGAAGCTGTACAAACCGCATTTTCTAGCTTTAGTATGATCCCTGATGATCCCCGGCGCTTTTCTTTAAAGTCATTTTTCTTTCTCCGAAGTCAACGAAAAACTTCCAAAGTTGTGCAGATTATCTAACCCAACAGTGCTAAGCATGTTGCTGATAAGAACAAATGATGTTTTGAAGTCATGAAATTTTCGATGATCCACAGGTCGAAATTTGGGGTATACCGAAAAATTCGATTTTTCAAAAATCCATTTGTTCTCATCAGCAACATGCTTAGCACTGTTGTAATAGATGTTCAGTATAACTTTGATAAGTTTTCGTTAACTTCGGAGAAAGAAAAATGACTTTGAAGAATAGATGTTCGTCCCCCAGGGATCATCAGGGGATCCTACAAAAAGCTGGGAAATGCGGCTTGTACAGCCTCTCGCTTCTGCTCAATATGTTCATAGTGAAGGATGGTGGGAGTACTTACGGACAGGTAGACGGCGTGAAATCCAGATATCCGGAGCTTCAGGATATGAAGCTTTCTTCAGAAGCTGCGATCCCCTCCCCAGCGGAAATGTTAGTGCATGCGGCCCTTAATCTAATATTTCTATCACTTCACATAAGTTTCGGTTTTTTTCTATCGTGGACGGATTTCCCGGTCAAAAATCTATCCCTGAGCATAGAGACATCATATCATTACCGTTCTCTTGTTTTTTGCCCTAATTTCTTTATGAATGGCTTTGTTAGATATCGCGCTCCAATGCCAAATTTTTGTGCATGCGTAGTATTCAGCTTCACCTTGGATTTCTCCTCCTTTCTCAAGTTTGTCATTAAGACTAGTAACTTTTTATTGTTTTCATCTTCTGTTAATTCGATAGGTCAAAGGGGACTCCGTAAATTTTCCGAAAGTGAGGGGGGACTTCGTTTTCATAAAGCCTAGAAACGGACTCGTGCCGGGCCCTGGCCTTAACAATCTGGCGATGCATTTTTCGCCACATAGCTTCTAGGACACCGCATGTGATTGGAGCGCAATATCTATCAACTATACTTGGGTCCGAATCGAATAGTAATTTGATCATTCGAATAAAACATTCGAATATATTCGTATTCGAAATTCGATATTCGGAGCTCGTCTATTTTCGAATAATATTCGAAACTCGAATAATCAAAAAACAGGTTTTCGAATAAAATTCGAAAACTCGATTAATCACAAAACAAGGATTCGAATATTATTCGAAAACTCAAAAAACGGGGTTTCGAATAGATTTTATTCGAATGTTTATTCGAATTCGTATTCGAATGAACTCCGTACTCAGATTATTCGACTTTTTTGCATAGCCAACTGCTGAGTATCAAGCTCACTTCGTCCGCGTTTTTTTTCGCAAAACTTGGTAATGCATCTTTTGCAACCGTTATGACCTTTGAACTGTATGGAGGATCGCATTTTTCCTACTGCTTGACAGTAAAAAAATCAAAAGTGGTTTTTAATTGATGCTTTTTCGATCAATGAGATTGTTCGCACTGCTATTGGCACCAAATCAGCAGAGAAGCTATCAAATTCAAGCTCATGTTCCGAGTTCATACATTGAAAGTGTTTCGAAATGCCTGTTTTTCTCTCTTTGCATTGCTCATGCTTGTGGTACGCAAAGCTCGCACTAGTGAGCACTCTTGCTCGCATAAGTTATAGTGCACAACTGCCTCTATCCGCTAGATACCTTAGAGATTTATTGCGAATTGGTGCATTTTGAGTAAAGGACATCGCAGTTGTAGTGGAGAATTAGAGGGTTTAGATCGCCCGCACGCGATTTGCCAGTTACGAGATGTCTTCAAATATAACGCCAACTTACCACAGATGTTTAGGTGTACAACTTACTAAAAAGATAAATGCCCTGCATTCTGTATTTTAAGAATAAGTTTTGGACAATTTGACTATTGCCAAACCACGTCGCCACCGAAATGCCTGCAGTGTGCCCGGGGCCATAGGGGCATTCGTGCTCGCTTCGCGGAATAAACCACATGCCTTCGTCCACGACTAGCTTATACCACACGGGTGAGGGTGCTGATTATGGATAAAAACTTACTTTATCGATTTTTGGAGAAGTTTGAGCTACGGGGCTGGGAGTTGGTGCAAGGGGGTAAGTTAGGGTGCTGATTATGCATAAAAATTTAGGACAAAGGATAAAGGATTCGGCGTCTTCAATACCTCCTGAGGGCATGCGCCGAACGCACACACTAACTTCATGGTCGAAGAGGCAATTTTATGCGTGCGAGCCTATTACAGTGACTTGCGGGGGCCAGCCGTTTCCAAGTCAGTGCTTTTATCCTCCCAGATTACCAATTTATCGGCCCCAAAGAGTGGAGGGCTTGGTTGGTCCAGGGGGGGGGGATCGAACCTGTGTCCGATCTGGTCGTAGCGGCGCCTCATACCACTACGCCACTCGTCCCCCCGGATAAAAATTTACTTTATCGATTTTATCGATTTTTGGAGAAGTTCTAGCTGCGGGGCTGGGAGTTGGTACAAGGGGGTAAGTGAGGGTGCTGATTATGGATAAGAATATACTTTATCGATTTTATCGATTTTTGGAGAAGTTTGAGCTACGGGGCTGGGAGTTGATACAAGGGGGTAAGTGAGGGTGCCGATTAAAAATAAAAATTTACTTTATCGGTTTTGTCGATTTTGGAATATTTTAAGCTACAAGGTTGGGAGTTGGTACGGGGGGTAAATGAGGATGCTGATTAAAACTGAAATCTATTTTATCGATTTCAGCGAATTTTGGAAAGTACGAGGGTACTATGAATGGATCGGCTTCAGCCAGATATGTCGCAAGTTTGAGATATGGTTGCTCTAGTTATTCGATAAATCATTCGAATATTTATTCGAAATTCGACTTCCAATGTTCGATTATATTCGATACTCATTCATTCGACATTTTTGATTTTCCGAATTTATTCGAAATTCGTTCATTCGAAATTTTTTGAATTTATTCGGTATTTGTTTATTCGAAATTTTTCCTTTTCGAATTTATTCCATATTCATTCATTCGATGAAAAATTTTCGAATTACCCAAGTATACTATCAACGCATAGATTTACATACCTCTTGCCTCAAAAAGAGGAGAGGCAATGGTTTGATTCGTTCTTTTCACTATATGAAGGATTTTTGACCGTTCTAATCGCTCAAATCAAAAAGGGCCGAAACTTATGTGTGTGAACTCTTCGATATTGCTCCGAACCAACTCATTTTTGGTGTTGGTCTAGAAACCATCAAATTCGGGAACAGATGTTAGGACACATAAGTTTATGAAACTTTTTACATAACCTAGTTTGGAGTAACATTGCAAACACATAGCCCATGTAATTGTTTCTGCGCTGTAAACAAGCCATTTGTTTGTTTGAGTCTTGCGTTTGAAATTCGCGCGCTTGCAAAAGAACACGTTTCACTCGTATAACCTGACATGTTTGTCGTTCTTCTATCGGCGCTTCCCAGGACCTTATAAAAACGATATCCCCGTAGCTTCTAACTTCAAAAACGAAGTCCATTTTGACCCCAAACCATCTGTGCCGGGCCCATTCCAGCAACCCATTTCTTTGTTTCAATCTGTAGTCGACTGGTTTTTCTGCTTAGGTATGATAGTAACTGGACATAAAATGTGATTGAGCATCGCGTTGAGATGATGCTTTTTTGCCTTTTTTGCGAGGGGTGTTATGCTCCTTTGTGCGCGAAGACCGCAGTCAAATCCATCGTCACAATTGTTATAAATGAATCTTAGGTGCCAAACTTACCCTGTTCAACGTGTTCATCAGGATAGCCCCTCTGCTACTGGTCAGTGCGTTGATTTGACCAATAGCGAATGAGTGAACCGGACGAACCGGTTGAACAAGATAAGTCTGGCACCTGTCTCATCCGACGTGCGCAGCGCAATGGCCGTACACACGTCCGACTCTCGCGATAATGCAGGCTCCTATACCATTGTCCTCCTTTTCCAGTAAGTGCACAAAGCTCTATCCTCTTTTGCTCATCACATGTTCATTCAAAGACCCTGAAAGTGGTAGAACAGCCTCGCAGTGTAGATAGATATAATAGCGCATATCTCAAATCTCAACTAACAAATCGCGCTGCTTCGTGAGCAATCCTCCGACTAAACCTTCGTGCACACTTTGCAATTTGCGAAGTGCAAGCTCTAGTTTCAAATCAGCTGTTTTCTGATGTTGTATATTTCCACAAGACAACATCAAGAAACAACTGTTTGACAGTCGATCAAATCAAGTATTTGCAGGATTCTGCAGTTTGCGTTTATTATTGCGGCCTTATGTTTCTATTTATGTCGTCTTCAAAGGCTTAGAATGGTGCAAGATTTAGATCTTAGCTTGTTCCACCAAACGCTTTATCACCCTTCTGCTAGTTGCGTTCCCCCTCCGATTTCACAAGAAAAATTCGCATAAAGAGGAAGACGAACCAACTTCAGCCGCTTCACCATGGTGCACTGGTGTGCTGCGCAACCCGTTTTGACATGTCAGTAGTGCCAATGAGTTACTCTAGGCAGCTTGATATTACGCATAGTAGCACTACCTTATAGCTCGCATAACGTTATGAACGGCATAAAGTCATTCGTAATCGTTAGACACTTCTTTCGGTGTTCATTGTGCAGCAACAAATTAGAGTATTCCACAAATTGCTAAAAAGCGGTTCTTGGCAATCATATTTGGAGAGGAAATTTCCAAATAATAATTTTCTTTTCTAGATCAAGGGATGAGAATATAGAGAATTCTAGTGTGTTTTGCATTCAAATAACACTGGTTGAGGGCTTTCACGAAAATTGTATGATTTCTCACTTACAGAGCCTTGAACTACGGTGCAATTGGATCTACCATCGCACATGAGATCTCGCATGCATTTGACGATGAAGGTATTTTTATATTATTTACCAAAATACAGTCTTGCTTTCTCGATTTATGCTGATTGCTCTGGATTGGTATGTAAAAGACTGAATTGATAGCATGTATTTTTTACCCGTCACTCGGCAATGACGAATTTAGGCTAATTCTTCATGTAAGCTAGAACAGTCAAATAATTATTTCCCTTGATCGTGTGGCAAATGCTTCCTGTTGTGATGTTTTGATGTGGTGATAGATACTTCAGAGGTATAGTCAATCTCGACTATGTTTGTGAGTTTCATCAAAGATTACAAACAAACATTTTTTTGTGTAAAAATCTATCAGATCGTACAAAATAAGCCTATCAGCACCATTGCTTTGTCTAAACCTATGTTACCAAATCAATCGATAGAATCCATCTATACTACTACAAGATGAGACTTTTCAAGCAGTCGGCTTAGATTGGCACCTAAACTTATGTCGTGTCTTTGCGCTAGGTTATTGTAATAAATAAAAGTTATTTTTTGATTTGGCATGTAAGGAAAAAGGGCGCTGTATCCCACAAGCAGCGGCATGACCTACTGAGTGGCTCACATAGTTATCAATGTGTTGACTGACTCTAGAATGCTCGTGCAAGTGCTCATTTGTAGGAAGCCAGTATGACGCCATCGGCAACCTTCGCGAGTGGTGGGATGCGGATGTGAAAAAGAAGTACCAAAAGCGAGCTCAATGCTTGATTGACCAATACGGAGAGATTGAGGTAAGTAGAATTTGGTTGCCAGATTTGGACAGCGTTAATCTACGATTTAATCATATTGGTAGTTAAAACGCTTGTGCGGCACAGTTTCGAATCTTATATACATATAAAGCTGAATGTCTGTTTGTATGTCTGTATGTATGTCTGTATGTATGTCTGTCTGTACGTATGTTCCGAATAAAAATTCCATTTCTGAACCGATCCGGACCAAACTTGGCACACATACACTTTGGTCCCCGGCGGGTGTCATAGGCTACTTTTCGTCATCGATCGTTATCGATTTTATCGATTTTTTGCAAAATTTGAGCTACGGGGCTGGGAGTTGGCACAGGGGGTAATCGAGCATGCTGATCACCCCCGTGGGGGTGATCAGCATGCTCGATTACACCCCTCTGCCAAATTCCAGCCCCCTAGCTCAAATTTTGCAAAAAATCGATAAAATCGACATCGATCGATAACGAAAAGTGGACTGTGACACCCGCCGGGGCCCGAAGTGTATGTGTGCCAAGTTTGGTCCGGATCGGTTAAGAAATGGAATTTTCTATTCGGAACATACGGCGGAGCCGGGTAAGCCAGCTAGTGGGATATAAGTTTAGGTACCGGGAACCGGCCAGAAAATCAACGGTGAACTCACTGTGGGAGAAAATATTGCCGACAATGCAGGAGTGAAGTTAGCCTATAGGGTAAATATGCGCTAATGCCAGACAGACTTCCTCGCTGCGTTTTCTAGGCGTACAAAGCATATTTGCGAAAACACGGAGAAGAGAAGAAGATCAGAGGTCTCGAAGGCTATAGTAGTGAACAGATATTCTTCATGGGCTACGCAGTGGTAACAATTCATAATGTGCTTGAGATCAACGACATAACTTTATGTCTCTGCTTAAGTCCTCTTGTGGGGACGACACAAAAGACGAACTGATCGACTCTCTCCTTACAACTCCTCATAGTCCAATGCGTTATCGGTAGAACCTAATATAGCCTGCTCCATCTCACTAAAACATTATTTTAGAGTCAATCAAGTGCTGGCCAATCAACGCGGGTTTGCTGCTGCCTTCAGTTGTGAAAAGGGCAGTAAGATGAACCCCGAAAAACGCTGTGGTGTCTGGTAAACAGAAAGGAGGCAAATAACAGATTGTGTACCAGTATACAAAAGCCTACCGATGTGTTCGATAATTTTCACATATGATTTTTTCGATAAATTTACTGCTTCAATATCTCTATCGTTTCAAATTAATCATGAGTTCCGGGTTTGCTCGACGAATAACGGTCCTGTACAGGGGCTTAAGCTACGCATTTCTTTGTCGCATAAAACTCCCGTTAAAAGTCTTCACTTCATCCATGCTGATTAATCCTGCCTGCGACCTCCTCCTGGGTCTCCGCCCGCTGAAAAGTGGCTGCCTAGGTACTTGTATGACGCTTCTTCTTCAGCTCTTTACCTGCTTAATTACCTGATGCATTCCGTCTTTCTGGTGCTGAGGCTTCAAATCATACAGCTCTAACCAGTATTTGTACAAGTGAGAGAGGAACCTTAGTGTACTCCAACCTTGATTCCACACTTTCTCGATTGCCCTGCGATTGTTTGTATTGAATAAGAGCATTGTGGTAAATCAATTGCATTCGCTGAACATTCTCCTCTGACACCATGGCCGGTAGTAATCTACCCTATCTGGTGGCATCAAAGATGCCGGCAAGTAGGCAGACTTCGCGAGGAAGTTGCCATCTTTGGCGGCAGCTTCCGGAGTGATTGTAAGTTTTGATAATCTTATATAACGTTAGTACGCAATCATTTCGCACATTAAATTTTGATGACGCAGACAGCCGCAAATTTGCTACCTCGCGCGCGGTCGAACCTATGCGCGTTAACTGAAGTGCCACCACGTTAACCATTCGGTCAGCCGTTACCGTTTGCACCAGCAATAGGAGGAACGCATTGGTAAATGGCTGCCTGTAAGAGGGATCGATACATTGCGTGAGAGACTTTGACCTGAAAGAACAGCTGATTGATATGAGCAAGAGAGGGGCGAAATCGGTGAAAGATTCAGAAAGGATTCCAAAAAAGATGGTGTTCTTCATGATTCTAAGCATTACTGGATTTTTTCTCTGTAAGAAAAAGTCGTTTTTAAAAGGAAAAACTCATATAATGAGAAAAATGTTTTTCGACGAAAAGTAGAATTTTTGGTTTTTTCGCCTGACATAAATTGTGTGATATCGCCGCAATTCGCAAACTCGCAGACGCCGTCGGCAAAGTTGCCAGCACCTCGACGTGGTTGGGGCACGTCGAGATGCCGGCAGCTTCCTCTCTCAAAAGAGCACACTATCTCGTGCTTTCTGACCTGCCGGCAGCTGCCATCTCGAGGATTTCGACGAGCTGCCGGCAGGTTGCCGGCAACTGACCTCGCGAAGTTGCCGGCAGCTCCTCTTGCGCTTCCAGATATTTTTCCACAAGAGGATTTCTGGAACCGCAAATTTCGAAGTTTCTATAGGGTCGAGGTGGCATCTTCATCGAGAAATTTTTTTGGAAAAAGGCCTGGGACGGCCTAAATTTGGGGTTTTAGTTTCTGACCACCTTACGGAAAGGTGCCAGCGATCTGCCGACGAGACCTGCCACCAGGTCGGGAGGGTTACTACCGGCCCATGTGTCACCCACTATATGACTTCGTGAGGCACCTTATCGAAGGTTTTCTCCAATCTCAGGAAGGCAGCATGCAACTCTCTGCTTCTTTCTATATTCTCCATTACTAACCGAGGGAAGTGGATGGCGTCGGTGACCTACTCCTTTCACGAACCCTCAATAATTCGATGACGAACTCTACCTGAACTCTACCATTAATTCGATGACGAACTCTACTCTACCGAACTCTGACAAATCCACCTTATCTCGAAGTCGTATTTCAATCACTTGCTCGCTGATATTTGGAGTGTGGCTCATCAATCGGATTGATCGGTAGGATGCACAGTCTGTTAAGTCTCTTTTGTTCTTCCCTATCGGGATTGCTGTGTTAAAGTACCAATCGCAAGGCATACTCCTCAGATAATCGCCGGAGGCAGGTGGTCCGCAAACTCGCGCTTTTCTGCAGGCGGTCAGCAGAATTTTGGGGCGTGGCCAAACCTTCAGCGGGCGGTAGCTCCTTTACTGTCGAATGTCTTGCTAACGGGCAGAATACAGAGTTTTCTGCGGGCGCTCGTCAAATAATCTCTTTCAGCGAGCGCTGGTCAAATTCTCAGCAGGCGCTCGGACTCTCTTTAAGCAGTTTCGGGCGTACGTCGAGCACAGGTAAGACTCTATGTGGCAGAGGTGTCACCGTTGGTTTAATTACTCAAGTTTGAGGTACTTTCTCTCAGCGGAAAGTACCTGGGGACTGCGCGGTCCTCCACAAAGGACCGTGCGGCCCCCGAAAATTTTGCATGTTCTCGCGGAAAGTCCGCGAGAATGCGGCCACTGCGCCGCAGCTAATCCATAAAAAAACCGCGATTGTTCTTCAAATATTCGTCTTTAATTTCGCCAACTTTCTTCCAAATTTCTGCAAGCGGGCGGCAAAAAATCAACGAACTATTTTTCCGGTGCGCGCTTGCTCAAAATTCGCATGGCCGCCTGCCCCCGGCGGTTATCTGAGCTCTTGTGGCTTATATTAGGTTGTTCGGAAACTAGTGCAAGTTTTTGCAAATGCATTTTCAAAACATGTGCATCTTGCGACTTACTTTGCATACCACAAGAAAGCGCTCTTCATGCTTTCGCTTATGCGCTCTTACTTCTACAATCACTACAATAGTTCAAATTCTATGACTCTCCGAAGATGAAGCCTTGAATCACAAAATTTAAACTTTGCACTTTGGGTTGAACTTGTTCGTCAAGAGGGGTATTTTCATGATAATATAGCTGAAGCAAAATGCTGAGTGAACCTATAAAGTTAATAGTAGCGCTTCTTTTTAAAATTTATGAGAGCGGAGAAATTGTGAAAAGAAAAGAAAAAGAAAATCCAACAGTACCAATTGTCGCGGCCATTCCACGGCTTGTCTTTTCTGAGGATAGCAACCTGAAAGTCTATCTTGCTTTGAATAGTGGGGCCGATGCGTCAAACACTATTTCAAATGGTACCACCCAGGCTGGGTAATTGGTGATAAATGAAAAATTTCAAAATTTTTGGAGATCGAAAACGTAGAGTAAATATCGGAAAAATAAAAGATTTTGAAATTTTCAAGTTTCCTCTTTCTTGAACCTCGGCATTGTTAGTATAATGTGTGTTAGTAGGTGAGTAAGACGACCGAGGTTAGTAGATCTTTATTAGTGGCGGCCTAACGTTTCGAACAAGTCGTCTTCTTCAGAGGCCTCCTCCACTGTCGGCGCGCGGATGTTAGGGCGATTATTGATACTAGTGGCATCGAAGAACGGCCGCCCTAACATCCGCGCGCCGACGGTGGAGAAGGCCTCTGAAGAAGACGACTTGTTCGAAACGTTAGGCCGCCACTAATAGATCTAATAACCTCGCTCGGCTTACTCACCTTCTAACACACATTATACTAAAAGATTTTGATTTCACAAGTTTTTGTCTGGCAAGAAATTCCTAAAAAAATTTCTGCATAGTTGTATATGCAGTACTGCTTTACTGCTATAAGCCGTCGAAATTCCACGCTGAACAAATATATTCGACGGGAGTTCACAATTTGTCAAAGATGACCCGAACAATATCAAAGCAGCTATGACACTTTGAAATGAGCATTTGCGAAACCTGCATTATCTTCCGAACACCCTAATAATATTATTGCGGATGCTTGTCAACCATGAAGCTCCTGATTGTCCACACACTTGCCAGAACTCACTTGGTATTCGTCTAGACTAGTCGCTTTGTCCCTATCGTTTTCACTAGGGCTAGCCATACCTCTTCTTCCGTGATTGTTGGTATTGTTTTCTCTATGGGACTAGCTTCTGAGAAGGAGTTGACGATGCGGCCTGCGGCCTGTGGTGAACGTTCTTTCGAGGTTCTCCATCTCTTGCTGATGTATTCTGGTCATACCTTCGATAGTCTAGAGACAGAGCCCTAAAAGGGAAGGTTGCTTAATTATTCCCCTCCCCCCCCCCCCTTGAAAAGTGAAGGTTGTTCATATAAAAAAGAGAAGAAAAAAGGTGCAAAACATTTACTAAAAGCAAAAGAATCTTCTGTAAACAGGATAGAAAGCGCAATAAGTTTGAAATCTTTCATTTGGCTGCATTGCAGGTTTAGCTGCAGGATCACGTAATCCACAATTCGGGGGAAAAAGGTAGAGGACTGTATGTCGTTGAAAAAGAGCGGTCCTCGCGGTCATTTGCGACAAATACGCACCCTTGTATATGCGCGGACATGCGTTCCTGCAGGAAATCCGCGTGGGACTCTTCCGTATTCGGCGACATATAGTCCTTCACCCGGGGAAAAACGAGGAAAAGCTAGTTTTTCCTTTGTGTTTAGTCCAAAAACACCATGTTTCAGAAGTAACAATCATCAAGAAAAGATAAACAAAAAAGAATTAGTTTTGAAAACAAAAGAGCATTACTTTTACTTAGTCGAAATGCGCGTCAGAGCCAACCTAGTCTTTGCTACGTCCTTTGAAGTCTTATTCCCGCATTGTAATTCCCGTTTTCTGTTACCTAAATTGTAGCTCTCACTATCCTGAACAATAATCGCCAAGCTGAAAAAAAAAACGCTGCAAAAGCAGTGAAACAGAATAAGTTAAAAAAACGCATTTTCTACGATTTCTCGCAAAAAATTCCACCTCGAAGAGATAATGGCTGGCTGGTTGTCTGCGTTATGAACAGAGGCGAGATCTACAGAATCCATGAAAGAATCGCGTGAGAAGAGTTTAACTAGGGTAAAACAAGAGGTTTCCAAAAACGAGGTTTTTGCCGGATTTCTCGTTCAAATCAAAAAATGTGGTTTTGAGACGTTGTCAGCGTGAAAGGTGAGGTCAAAAGCTTTGGTATGATTTATAGCTTGCTAAAATTGGGTTCGAAACAACGAAGAAAAGGGTACCGGAGCCAAATGCCCCGTGCCACGCGTTTGAGGTAGCGAGGTAACGCGCAGCGCGCGAAGACGCAGACGAGCAGCGGAAACAGGCCAGAGCCGACAAGGCATTTGGCTCTGGTAGTAGTTCTCCGCGGGCTCTCAATGAAATTCTACAACATTACATATCATTCTCATCGCCACGACA